GAGGTGAGGGGTGGGCGGGGGAAGGAGGAGGAGGCCAGAAATGACCTCCCCTGGTCCGACAAAATCCCTCATCCAGGACCACTCAGGTCCTGAGGGCGCCGGAGCAGGGAGGTCCCACCTGTACATGGCAATGGCAAACACATAAAGGGAACTCACTCTGTCTCCTTTTGGCCCCGCCGGCCCTGGGTATCCAGGTGGTCCCTGGGATTTAAAATAAACCACACAGCGGTAAATAACGGAGTGAAGCCAGCACCCAGGAGCACTGCCACTCCCTTGTGTGAGGTGATCTCTTCTAAACCCTCTGCCGTCCGTTCCGTCCGGCCGCATCCGAAGCTGTCAGCCCGTCTCCAGTAGGGGACACATTTTGTTGGCCCATTGAACGATGCCTTAAACAGGTTCCTGCCTTTGTGGTACCCACATCAACTGGAGTGTGGTACCCACTAGTTGGGGGTGTTACAGGTTTCCCCCTAGTGGCTGATGCAGGTAAGATGTTACTCCTTTGGCTCAAGTGGTCGACAGCTGTGCTTTTAGCGCTGTAGGTCACAGGTTCTGTCCCCGCTATGGTGACCCATGATGGGTCATTGCACCCACAGGGACCCCTCTAAATGGAGTCAGAAGGGGTGTTTCTTTGCAATGGGGGTTTCTGTGACTGGCCCGCCTGTGGTGGCAGCCTCAGGGAAAGCGCCTTGCTCAGGAAAACCAAACGCATCCGAGTGAAATGAATGTGCCGCTATCCCAATTCCAGGCACGACATTTACACAGCGGGGCTTCAGCTGGAGAGCTGCACCTGAACCACAGGGAGCCGGCTGTGAGCCTCCCCGGAGTCAGCCACTGGCAGGCGACCTTATCACAAGCACTTAGCCAGCACGTTATCACAATCACGGCGCTCCAGTGAGTGCGAGCCGGCACGACGCTAAGTCACGGGCGTTACCCTCTGCACTGACTGGTAGAAAGTCCGTGCATGGCTCCCTTGCGACAGAAGAAGCGACCCAGCCTCAGGCAGGGTCCTGCGCAAGGTGATGCTTCTCTGATAGGCCTCATTTCGGCTACAGGGCAGGCGCAGTTTGGCAGAGGCAACACCCGTGCAACCAGTGAGTGCGAGCCGGCACGACGCTAAGTCACGGGCGTTACCCTCTGCACTGACTGGTAGAAAGTCCGTGCATGGCTCCCTTGCGACAGAAGAAGCGACCCAGCCTCAGGCAGGGTCCTGCGCAAGGTGATGCTTCTCTGATAGGCCTCATTTCGGCTACAGGGCAGGCGCAGTTTGGCAGAGGCAACACCCGTGCAACATGGGTGCAAAATCAGACTCCCCATCGTGCACAGCACGACTGATGGGGCACTTCAACAAGCAACACTCCACGGCAGTCCTGTGCTTGGTCCAGCACGGGTTCTACGCCTGCCATTGAGTGTCGGAGACCCTGCGGGTTCAGAATACTCACCAGATCCCCTTGGGTCCCAGGATGCCCCTGTAAATCAAGAGGGAGAAACACAGATGTGCAAATACCAGAAAAAGGTCGTTTCCCCCCATTTTTAATCCCAATGTTGACCATGCTCATTAATCCAGATATTTACCATCAGCCCGGGGGAGCCGGGGGGGCCTGCTCGCCCCGGTCGTCCCGGCAACCCAGGAATTCCATCTTTCCCAGGGAGCCCCTAAATAGAGGGAAAGCAACAAGGTCAGAGACTTGGGCATGGGTTGGGTAGAGCTGCTAGCACTGCCAGCCTCGAATAACTGGTCAACGGTAGCTGTTTGGACAGAGGTGGGAGAGGATGTGCTAATAAAACCCCGATATCGGTTTCCCTTTCCCTAGAGAAACTCATCAGTGTTTCCTCTGAGGTTGGATCCTCACCGGAAGTAGGATCTCCCAGCTTAGACAAGTTGTGTGACCTTGAAAATCGGTTTGATGGAGTTTGCCAAGCCCGGAATTCTGCCGGGGTCATCCATCCCTCATTCCACGAGGAGTAACGGTAGTTCGGACTAGGAAGCCTAATCCGAACTACCTAGTTCGTGCCGCGTGTCGCCGCGCGGCACGGGGTTCGAACCAGCCGGGATTTAAAAATGGCGGCGCCCGGCTTATGCAAATGAAGCCCAGGAAATTCAAATCCCGGGCTTCATTTGCAAGTGCGGTATGCATACATTACCCTCCTAGTTCGAAATAGGAGGGTAGTGTAGACATACCCAGAGGGAACACCGAGCTGGTATGTAACAGGCAAAACTGATAGACTCTATAAGCACCTAACGACCGTCAAAAGAAGCAGATAAGGACGTTGGCGTTGAGCGGAAGGGCACTAACACCAGAATCTACAGACTACTACTAAGGAGAGAGCAGGTTTTGCAGTCTTCACAAGGAGAATAATCTTTGAGAAACTAAAAATAAAGTGTCACTCCCGGCCATGCATGACTGTCTCTCGCACATGCCTTCCTCCCTGCTTGATTGTCAAAGCCAGCGGGGAAGAGGACAGATTACTGCTCCAGAGACTGGGGCATGTCTTTTGTAACGATTCATTCCCTGGCTGCCGTGTGCTAATCAAGCCAGTGCATCACAGCGGCTGCGCAACTCACCCGCTCTCCCTTCTCTCCCTTTACAGCAAAGCCGTAGGGATCATACCGACCCCCCGTCGGCACGCCGGTGAAGCTCTCGGAAAGGAAAAAGAGAAACAACCATTGTCAACCTCCACGGAAACACTGATCACCCCGCCCCCCCCAAAGCCCTGGAAGGGCAGTGTAGTCATCTGTCAGCCGTTGCGCATCTTAGGAGGTGGGCGAATCATAGAATCATAGAATAATAGGACTGGAAGGGACCTCGAGAGGTCATCGAGTCCAGCCCCCCGCCCTCAAGGCAGGACCAAGCTCCGTCTACACCATCCCTGACAGATATCTATCTAACCTGTTCTTAAATATCTCCAGAGAGGGAGATTCCACCACCTCCCTTGGCAATGTATTCCAGTCCCTGGCTCCCTTTGGAAATCTAATCCTCTGCAGGAAAACAAATGGCACTTGCCAGAGGAAACGGTCACACCCCAGGCCTGTTAGCCTCCTTTCTGATGCTGGGCTTTGCTTTCCCATCCCCGGGGGCGTGTCCCTGGTTCCCCCCGGAGGATGTTCTCGGATCGTACTCACCGCTTTCCCAGGTGGGCCCCTTGCACCCTGCATGACAAGGAAGCAGAATTAGAGTCCCATGAGGAGGCACTGCAGAACAGGGCGCCGAGAGCGTAAACTGGGACAGGGAAAGGGTCCGCTCAGTCACCGGGCCTGGGAAACGCTTCCTGGACCGCTGGCCTATGTCACAACAGCTCCTGTTCTCAGCTGCACACAGTGGGCCTAGAACACTTCCCCCGCGGGGGTGCTGAAAGCCAGTCTCCTTGCCCCTGTCTCTGGGAGGGGGGACCCGGACAGGGGACAGGGGGGCAAAGCTGCAGCCACAGCTAGGAGTGACCATGGGGCCTGGCCACAGGAGGGCCATAGCTAAGAGAGGGAGCAGGGCCGGTGGCCAGGGAGCAAGGCACGGGGCGCAGGTCCGGGGTGCAGAGTCCCAGGTGTGGGACTGGGGGGGGGCCTGGCACTGTAACCAGTCAGACACGACCCCCCCTCCCTCCTCTCCACTGGCATCTAGCGGACTCGACATACTCCTGCTTTTCCCTTCTTCCCTGACCTTGGCTTTCTTAGTTATAATGTACGTTACGTTTTTCTATCATGCCTTTGGTATGCTCTCTTTAGTACAATGCAATTTCTTGTTCCTCAAGGCCATGAGGCCCAACGCTGCTTAGAAACTATATTGCTTCTGAATATGTATGTAACGTGTGAATGAGGAAGACCTAATCACAGGCAGTTTAAGATCCGCAACCTGTTAAGACGTGCAAAGCCCCTGCAAGCAGATAAATTAACTGAGAAGCGGCCAGAAAAGCTCTCTCTCTCTCTCGGACAAGATGCAATATCACAGCAGAAACCTGGGACCGGCCCAAAGAAGTAAAGCCTCCTGCAGATCCGAACGGATCTCCCAAGGAACATCACGGTTGACTCTCCAGGAAGCGGACGCCTGGCCAGCACTCCAACCACCAGCGAAATCAAAAATTATCTACACCGCACTTGCGGCCTGACTCCAAATGGCCAGCATGACTGTGATGAGTGGGTGAGTACTGTTTTACTCTTAAGAATCTGTACCAATAACAACCCCCAAAGCAATCCTGCTCCAGCCCACCCTTTGTTCCTCAGCAGGTCTGAGGAAGTGCAACGGGCACAGAGTCCCAGGCATGGGGCTGGCAGCTGGAGAGCAGGGACGCTGGCTAGGATCTGAGTCAGGGGCATAGGGCTGTGGAGCGGAATCTCAGGGGCAGGCCTGGGAACGGGGCTCCCTGCATGGACCTCAGGCTAGTGAGCAGGTGTGGGGCTGGCATCGCCCCACACTCCCTAGTTCCCAAGCCGATGGCTGCACAAATGCAACAAGATGGTAACCTCTCTGGGTAAGAATTCTCCTCTTTTTGTTATGTATTTGTACAGCACCTAGCGCAGTGGGTCTGCAGCCTCTAGCTCATGCGTTCCCAAACTGGGGGGCGTGCCCCACTGGGGGGGGTGTGAAGAAATTCCTGGGGGGGCATGAGATGACCCAACCCCCCGCATCAAGATTTGCTGCCCTGGTCAGTATGTTGGGTTTGTTTGGGTTTTTTTGCTCAACAAGTTTTGCTGCTATTTTGGAGGAGGAGGGTGTGAGGGTTTTTCAAAAATCAAAAAGGGGGTGTGATGCCGAAAAGTTTGGGAACCAATGCTCTAGGTGCTGCCTCAATACATCCTCCTCCTCAATCCCCCACCCCTCCTGGGGAGTTACATCACTGGAACGGAGATCAGAAGTTGGCAGGATGAAATAAAGAAGAGCCTATTTTCCCCTTCTAGGCCAAAAGCGCTCTCTGCCCTGTTTTGAATAGTCTCCTTTTAATGTAGCCAAGCAACTGAGTTTTTAGCACATAGGTAGGACAGAAGGAGTAACTTGTCTAACTTTTAACAGCTTGATCCTGAAGATAGCGACAAAGTGTGGTGTGGGATTGGGAGAGAGGGGGATTAGATCCCTAAAGTTCCAAGATATTTATATGGCCCTCATTGCTGTAGCCTGCGAGCATCTCACAATCCTGAACGTATTTATCGTCACCACTGGAGCTAGAAGGAAAATGGATTTTCCACCTTGTAAAAAATATAGAAATTTTAAAAACAAACAAACAAACCAAAGGTTCTAAATTGGGATGAAAAGTTTTGCAAAACCAAATTGTAAAAAAATAACCCCTTTGTTTCAGGTCCATCGTTCCGATTTTCACCAATTTTAATTTTTAATTTTTTTTTATGAAATCAAGTAAATTTATAAAAAAATATCATTTCAAAATGAAAAAAATGGAAGCTTCCGTTCGGAAATGTTAAAATGTTTCATTCTAGCGTTTTCTACGTCATTCTTTCCAAACATTCCCCCCCCCCAAACGAAATTGCATCTGAATTGATACGCTTTTGTGAAGAAAACCATGAGTTTCATTGAACTGCCATTTGCAGGTGGAAGCCCGTTGGATGGAACACTTTTAGACCAGCCCTACTCACAACCCTGGGGCCAGATATTGCTGTGATCCTGTTGTACAGAACGGAGCTGGGGCCTGGGGACACGCCGGCAACATTTACGCTGCTGCTGGATGTGAGCCTGGGCAGGTGGATGCTTCCGCTCTGTTTGAGCTCCGTGCTAAAAAGAGCCGTGTGGCTGGGGTAGCACAGGCTGCCCGCTGGAGTACGTAGCCAGTGTCTCCAGGGTGCAAAAGCAGATGTGCTACCTGTGCAGGGCCAGCCTTAGGGTTTATGGGGCCCTGCGCATTGCTACGGGTTGGACTTCCCTGGTCTGGCAACCTCAGGACCAGACTGGTCCCGGAGGAGGGATTTTGCCAGACCAGGGAGATGATTTCTGGCCCCTCTGCCCTGCTGCCCCACCGGGCTTCCAGGCTCTGCCCCTCCTCTCCTACCCTCCCCAGCCCAGCTGAGTTGCAGACTGGCTCCAAGCCCCAGAACAGCTAAGCGAGCGCCAGCTCCTGCCCCACCCCCCCAACCCAGCTGAGCTGCCACCAACTCCTGCCCTGCCCCCCCAACACAGCTGAGCCATACACTGGGCTCCCGATCTCCCATCACACTGGGTTCTCCCCCCACATCGTGCCCTTGGGGCTCTCTGATCCCGGAACATCCGTGGCCCTGCTGGACTACAGAGGTGGCCGGACCAGAGCGGTCTGGTTTAGAGAGGTGCAATGTGCGTCCTACTGGTGCCTCTCTGCCTTGTGGCCGCTGCGAGGAGGACGAATGTTTCGAGATGTGATTTTATCATCTTCAGCAACACACGCCTGAAATATTTCAAACGCACATTTTAAACTCAGGGCCTGTCGACTGGCACAGTGAATTCAGACACCGACAGGATAGACCCGGGGTTGGCGCACGCCTGCTCTTTCTGGTATCCCACAATAGCATTGCTCCCTAAGTCCACGAGATCCTCTGCGGAGGAAGCAGAACCTCCGAACCGGGGGGGACATTAAGACCCAGCGATGCCTCAAATTTTCGGGCGCTCTACGCAGCTGCATGTTCTGTGTATGGGTAAGGAGAGCCCTGTAGCTGGGCTGTGCCTGTGCTAGGACAGAGAAAGGCTGGACTCAGCCTTGTGATCCAGAAGGGATAAGTGTGCAGAATTCCCATCAGGCACTAGCCACGCGAGCCTGTTAACCCTTTCACTGCCGCTTCGGGGCCTGGCCTGCTCCCACAGTCTAGTGCGGGGACGGCCTGGGGGAATCCAGGCGGATAGAGCAGGACGATGTGCCCCAGATCTGCAGGGTGTGATCCCGTCAGACGGGGAATAAGAGGTACATCTGTTCACACCTGTGTACAGCAGGGTTTTAAAACGTGTTGGCGTCACATGGCTTTCAAACACCTTCTATCCTAATCGGGACACGGCCAAAGAGAGGGAGACGCTCTACGCAGCTGCATGTTCTGTGTATGGGTAAGGAGAGCCCTGTAGCTGGGCTGTGCCTGTGCTAGGACAGAGAAAGGCTGGACTCAGCCTTGTGATCCAGAAGGGATAAGTGTGCAGAATTCCCATCAGGCACTAGCCACGCGAGCCTGTTAACCCTTTCACTGCCGCTTCGGGGCCTGGCCTGCTCCCACAGTCTAGTGCGGGGACGGCCTGGGGGAATCCAGGCAGTTTGGAAAGGCCTTGCCTTCCTCCACCTCTGACACCTGCCGCCCACGCCAACGCAGGTGCGCTTGCAGCAATGGATTTGCCAGTGGCCAGCAGGGGGCAGGAGTGCTCGGAGCCAGCCTTCTGGATCTGGACATACAGCCGCAGATTTGACCGTGGATGGAGGAGGCGCGATACCTAGCTTAAGGCCCCGCTATGGGGCACACCCCAGCCCGCGGCGAGGCAAGGGCTCGAGGTCTGAGAGGCGGCCGGTGGCTCCTCGTGCCTCGGGACACTGCGTGGTTG